GAATGAATTCCTTTCCATTTGGGGTTTAGGAAGTGCAGGAGAGAGCTAATCAATGATTCTCTTTCTGAAATCAATAAAGATTTTTAAAATATATTGCCCAAACCGGTTTGGCTCAGTGGATAGAGCCTCGGCCTGCGGACTCAAGGGTCCCGGGTTCAATTCCGGTCAAGGGCATGTGCCTTGGTTGCGGGCACATCCCCAGTGGGGGATGTGCAGGAGGCGGCTGGTCGATGTTTCTCTCTCATCGATGTTTCTAACTCTCTGTCTCTCTCCTTTCCTCTCTATAAAAAATCAATAAAATGTATTTAAAAAAAAAATATATATATATATATATTTTATTGATTTTTTACAGAGAGGAAAGGAGAGAGACAGAGAGTTAGAAACATCGATGAGAGAGAAACATCCATCAGCCGCCTCCTGCACACTCCCCCACTGGGGATGTGCCCGCAACCAAGGCACATGCCTTTGACCGGAATCGAACCCGGGACCCTTCAGTCCGCAGGCCGACGCTCTATCCACTGAGCCAAACTGGCTAGGGCCCAAGCATGTGCTCTTGACCAGAATCAAACCCAGGACCCTTCAGTCCGCAGGCCGACGCTCTATCCACTGAGCCAAACCAGCTAAGGCCTGACAGTGTTTTTGATAGCATTTCTTTTTGGTTCTCTTTTAGGATTTCCATCTCTCTGCTTACATTGCCCACCTGTTCTTGCATGTTGTCTACTTTATTATTTTTATTTTATTTTATTTTTTGAATTTTTGTGAGTTTATTTGAGCCAAACTGTCAACATATGCTGGGAAGCAGAACCTCAACGAATTGAGATAATGCTCCAGAGAATGGCGGGTTACATCTGTATTTATACATTGCAAGCAAAGGAAGGGACGCAGGTGGGTTACATGAAATCCATTGGTGATAGACTAGAGAGGCGGGAGAAAGCAAAGTGGGGAAACCCCTGGGATTGGATAAAAAGTAAAATGATGGACACCTACTTAGGCGGGTTCAGGAACAATTAACATGATAATGAAGGAATTTGTGGTATCTGTCCTGGCACCCAGCACATTTGGTTGTGCCCCAGGGGCATGCTGTCTACTTTATCCATTAGAGTAAATTAATATATTAGTCATAGTTGTTTTAAATTCCAGGTCTGATCATTCCTACATCCCCACCATGTCTGGTTCTGATGCTCATTCTGTCTCTTCAAATTGTGTTTTGGTATGTCTTGTAATTTTTTAAAATCCTCACCCGAGGATATTTGTTCCATTGCTTTTTTTTCTATCCTCAGCTGAGGATATTTCTCCCATTGATTTTTAGAGAGAGTATAGAGGGGAGAGGGAGACACAAAGAGAAACAACAATGTGAGAGAGACACATCAATTGCATGCCCCTGACCAGGGCCGGGAGCCTGCAACCTTGGTACGTGCCCTTGACCGGAATCAAACCTGGGACCCTTCAGTGTGCAGGCTGATGCTCTATCCACTGAGCCAAACCACCTAGGGCTGTTCCATTGCTTTTTAGAGAGTGGAAGGGAGGGAGGGAGTGTGAGGGGGAGAGAGAGAGAGAGAAACATAGAAGTGAAAGAGACACATTGACCAGTTGCCTCCTGCCCATGCCCCAACCAGAAATCAAACCCACAACTTACGTACATGCCCTTGACCAGAAGTCGAACCTGAGACCCTTTGGCTCACGGTCCCATGCTCCAACCACTGAGCAACACAGAGCAGGGCTGTAATTTTTTTTCTTTTTTTTTAAAAATATATATTTTATTGATTTTTTTCAGAGAGGAAGGGAGAGGGACAGAGAGTTAGAAACATTGATGAGGGAGAAGCATCGATCAGCTGCCTCCTGCACACCCCTGACTGGGGATGCGCCCACAACCAAGGCACATGCCCCCGACCGGAATCGAACCTGGGACCCCTTCAGTCCGCAGGCCGATGCTCTATCCACTGAGCCAAACCGGTCAGGGCTGTAATTTTTTCTTGCTAGCCAGACATGATGTACTGGATAGAAGGAACTAATTAGGCTTTGAGGACTGTGGTGGTGAGATGTGTGTGTGTGTGGGGGGGGGGACCGGAAGAGTCTATGATGAGGCTTCAGTGTTTTATTAAGCTCATGCTTATGCCTCTAGACTTCACAAGTGTCTTAATTTTTTTTCTCCCTCTTAAGTGGGAGAGGCTGGCTAGAGTGGGTGGGGTGGCTACTTCCCTTCCTCAGGTCAGTTAGGCTGATGGTCCTGCAGTGGGTGAGGCTCTCAAAAATGCCAAAATGGTCCCTTTCCTGCTCTCCCTACCAGAAGCACGGGGGGTGGGGGTGGGGGGTTTCTCTAATATTTACTGTGGGAACCTACTTGAGCTCCTGAGGGTAAATTTTACAAAATTGGGGGGGGGGGGAGCGGGGGGAGGGTGTCCTCCTATGACTGGGACCTGCTGGCATTTTTAACTCTTGGAGTTGTCCACACACAGGTTCCAGCAATTTGTCAGTGACAGGCCTGGTTTTCCTGCCCGGGCGCTGGTTCCCGCAGCTGTTTCTGCTCGGTAAGTTTATTCTCCGCACCTATTCGCCTGTCAGTCTCTCCAGTCTTTGCGCTGTGCCCTCACCTCTCTCAGCAATCCAGACTTGCGTATTTTTCAGTCTGTCCAGCTTTATTATTATTATTATTATTATTATTATTATTATTATTGATTTCAGAGAGAAAGGGAGAGGGAGAGAGAGAAAGAAACATCAATGATGAGAGAGAATCATTGATCGGCTGCCTCCTACACGCCCCCCCCCCCCCCACTGGGGATGGAGCCCACAACCAGGCATGTGCCCTTGACCAGAATCGAACTGGAGACCCTCCAGTCTGCAGGCCGACGCTCTATCCACTGAGCCAAACCGGCTAGGGCTGTCCAGCTTTTTAATCGTGAATATTGAATGGCGATCTCCAAGCTCCTTATGTGTGAAACCAGAAACCAGAAGCCACCTAAAAGGGTCATGTACACGTGAAAAGAACGTATACTTTGCCATTGTTGACTGTAATGTTTTATGTATTCGTTCAAGTTGATTTTTTAAAATTTTTATTGATTTTAGGAAGAGAGGAAGGGAGAGAGAAATATTGACTTGTTGTTCCACTTAGTTATGCCCTCATTGGTTGACTCTTGTATGTGCCCTGACCAGGGATCAAACCCACAACCTTGGCGTATCCGGGCAACACTCTAACCAACTGAGCTACCTGGCCAGGGCGCGAGTCCCTGCTTTTAACTATTTTGGGTCGATACCTAGAAGTGAAATTGCTGGGTCATGTAGTCACTCTATGTTTCTGTACTGTTTTCCAAGTGGCTTTGGCTTTACCATTTTACATACCCACTGGCAATGCACAGGGTTCCAATTTCTTCACATCCTTGCCAACACTTGTTATTTTTCTTTGCATTAAAAAAAAAAAAAAAAATAGCCCTGGCTGGTGTGGCTCAGTTGCTTGAGCGTCGTCCCATGCACTGAAAGGTTGCAGGTTTGATTCCAGTCAGGGCACATACCTGGGTTTCAGGAGTGTAAGGGGGAGAAGGCAACAATCAGCATCTCTCTCTCACATTGATCTCTCTCTCTTCTCTCTCTCTCCATCCCTCCCCCCTCCTTCCCCTCCTTCCTTCCTCTCCCTAAGCATGTTCTCGAGTGAGGAATGAATAAATAAACAAACAAACAAATAAATAAATGCTATCCTAAAGAGAGCGAAGTGGTCCTTTCTGACTTGCATTTCCCTAAAGAGCATCTTTTCATGGGCTTCCTGGCCATTTGCACAGCATTTGCTTTGGAGAAATGTCTACTCAGGTCTTTTGCCCATTTTTGAATTGGGTTGTTTGTTATTTCCTTGTTGAGGAGTTTATATTCTGGCTGAAATCCCCTATCAGATGTATGGTTTGTGGATATTTTCCCCTGTTCTGTGGGTTGTCTTTTCACTCTATTGATAGTACCCTTTGATGCACATTTTCAATTCTGATAAAGTCTAATTGATCTATTTTGATGTTGTTGTAATTGCCTGTGGATTTGTTAAATTCACGTCATGAAGATTTTGACCTGATGTTCTCTTCCAAGAGTTTTATAGTTTTAGCTCCTAATTTAGGCCTTTGATCTTAATTTTTTTAAAATATATTTTTATTGATTTCAGAGAGAAAGGGAGAGGGAGAGAGAGATAGAAACATAAATGAAGAGAAAGAATCATTGATCAGCTGCCTTTTGCACACCCCCTACTGGGGACTGAGCCCACAACCCGGGCATATGCCCTTGACCGGAATCGAACCCGGGACCCTTCAGTCCAAGCACAATGTTCTATCCACTGAGCCAAACTGGCTAGGGCTATTCAGGGTTTCTTGAAATTCCACATGAGTTTTAGGTTGGACTTTTTTATTTTTGCAAAAACATACTATTGGGATTTTGATAGGGACTACATTGAATCTGTAGACATTTGGGGTAGTATTGTCATGTTAACCATATTGTCTTTGAAACTACGAACACAGGATGTCTTTCCATATATTTGCGTCTTGTTTAATTTTTCTCAGCAATGTTTGCTAGTTTCAGCATGTAAGTCTCTCACCACCTTGGCCAGCTGCAACCTGTCCCAGCGCCACCGCCAGGGAAGGGTGGTGTCAGGACGGAACCCACCTCCATCTCAGTCCACGCACCTAATGCTTCCCCCCTACTTTCCCTGAGCCAGGACCCGTGCCACCTCTTCGCTGAGCCCGCCCAGCCTGCTCCCCGACGGCTGTTGTAAGAGCCTGGGGTGTACAGGTGGGTCCTGGCACCTGCTGGGTGGGTGACTTTGGCTGCATTCCTTTCTCTGTCTGGGCCTCTGTTTCCAAGTCTGCAAGTTTGATGAGAAGGGGCCCTGAGTGAAAACCTTGGGAACATGGTGAACCGCATCCAGCACGGCCAGGGGTGAACCTGAGGAGGGGCGGGGAAGGATTCAAAAAGACAGACAAGAGAATACAGCTGGGACCAGGTGGATCACTGCCTGGATGAGGAAACAGTGACCCAGCCCGGAAGCCAAAGCTTTATTTTATCATCAGATCACACAAAGCAAAGCAAGGGGAATGGTCAACATGTTTACAATGTTCTTGTGAGTTACAAATCTATTCCCATTACTCAAGCCTGGCTTGGCAGCACTTGCTGCACCTCCCACAGCCCATTAGCTACCTAGGAACAAGGGAGGACTGTAAGGTCAAGCTTAATTGTGCTAGGAGGGCTCTGCCCTCCAGGCTGGGACTTGTGTGTGGCTCTGCCACAGGTCAGTCCGAGGCTTGACCCAATAGCCGCTCCCTACAACATGGGACCCGGAATGCAGTAAGAGCTAAATTATTGCAGCTGTTAGGACCCTTTCCCCCTTATTACAAAAGTGGAAACTGAGGCCCTTGGGGTAAGGTCAGAGCTTCTCAGGTCAGACCAAGAAAATGTTTGCAAAACCTGAAAAGAACACTGCCAAACCCGGAGGAATACATCTTGAATTAAATGCCTGCAAGCTACATGTCGTTAATCCCCCAGTTCCTCTCATGTAGCAATGACGCTGAACGTGTCATTTTATTTTTACTTTTAAAAAATATACTTTTATTGATTTCAGAGAGGGAGAGAGAGAAGCATCAATGATGAGAATCATTGATCGGCTACCGGGGATCGAGCTGTCACCCAGGCATGTGCCCTTGACCGGAATCAAACCTGGGACCCTTCAGCCCGCAGGCCAACGCTCTATCCACTGAGCCAAACCGGCCAGGGCTGAAAGTGTCATTTTAGAAGTTGAGGTGAGGAGGGTACCTCCTCTGGATGTCTCACCTTGTCCTGGGCTTAAGGAGTTCTGCAGAGACAGGAACCACAGCCCAGAGAGGGTCAGCTTCCAGCCGCAGGTCACACAACCCCCGGCTCCAAAGATCCCGAGTTCCCACCGTCAGAGTTCAAATGTGCGTGAGGTTCCACCCGGCCCCAGTGCTGACCCCTGGCTGCCTCCTCCTTCTGACTTCTCAGGAAAAAAAAAACAAAAAACTGCCAGGAAGCATCCATCACAGGCTGTCCAACTGGGCCGGAGGGGCAGGGTCAGCGGGGAGGTGACCTCAAGGTCTCCGTGGGGACCAGGATCCGGCAGGGCTGGGGGTGAGAGGCTGGAACGTTTCCCACCCTGAGATTTTCCTGCGTCAACCCAGGAGGGCGCCCTGGATGCCGCCGGCCCTGCCCCCAACCTCCTTCCTCTCTGGACACAGTTCCCGGCTAAGGATGGATGGGGAGGGCGGCCCAAGGTGAACGGCCAGGCCCAGGAAGGCAGAGGCACTTGAGATTGACAAGATGAAGCACCGGGGCTCTGAGTGGCCGAGGGCTGGCCCTGGAGTCACGCAGCCCGGGGACTCGGTACAAACGGGGCAGCTCGTAGGCTCCCGGTCCGCTGGGCCTCAGTCCCCATGTGCTGCCCGCGAGTTGGACCCTAGCCCGGTCTTGGGCGTGTGAGAAGCCCTTGGCCCTGGGCCCTGCCCTCCAGTCCTTCCTCCCCCACACACTGGGGACTCGGCCCTTCCTTGTGTTAAATAGAAACCTCTTTATTCTAAGTATCGTACATTCCTTAATACATTGGATGGGGGCCAGACCTTGAGGTGAGGGGAAAGGGGGGGCCTGGGATATTTCTGTAGCGCCTTCCAACTCCACCCGCCACCCACCGGGCTGGGAGCTGGTGCTGCAGCGGCCTCCTGGCCTCAGGGACGTCCTTGCTCCCTCTGACCCCGGTTTCTCTTCTGTACATCCAGGGGCCTGGGGTCCCAGGCAGGGGGACGGTGTGTCAGCAGCAAAGATGGGGCACGGAGGGGGCGGGCGCTGGGAGAAGTCTCAGCGCTGGGCCCAGGCCCAGGTCCGTGATGGAGGTGGGGGCCGAAGCCTGGGCAGACAGGCCAGCCGGGGCCTGGCCAGCCCCAGGCCGGGGAAGCGGCCCAGGAGAGGGAGGCCGAGGCAGAAAGGCGGGCGGGGCACGGGGATGTCTGCGAAGAAGGCACGGTCGTGGGGTGGTGACAGGGCTTCCCCCTCAGACAGTTCCAGGTCCCGGGCCACGGCCAGGATCTCCTGGCGGGCGGCTGCGTTGCGCAGGCCACGGATGTCCAGGAGGGCGGCCACGTGCTTCCGCCTGGGCATAGAGGAAAGGGAGGTGCATGGGGTTCTGGGCTCTGGATGCACACCCAGCCCGACTATGGATACCCCCACCCTGCAACTCACCCGTCCCAGAACCTGCCTTAGCTCTGGAGTTCCTTTCCCCCTTCCGGATCCCTTCCTTTCACCAGCCACCCAACCCCGCCCTTCACAGATCCCCTCTGGCACCGACCCCCAGCCTCTCCCCCCTGTGCCATCCCCCCTCCAGAACTTCACGTCAGCCATTTCCAAATCCTCCCATTTCCAACGGATTCCACAGCCCTCGCCGCCAAACCCAGCCTCAGCTGTGATTAAAATACCCTTCAGTCTTCCGCCCCAATTTAGCTCAGGCAGCTCCCAGATTTCCATTCTGGTGCCTCCCGTTTGTTCGGCTCTGGCACCCAGAGCAACAGTGAACCTCTCTTCCATCTCAAACAGCCCCACATGGTCGCTCAGATGTGGCCCAGAAGTGCCCACCCGCCTTCCCATCCCGCCCCTCCCCTGCCCCAAGGCCAGGTCTGGGAGTTTCTCACCACTGCAGCCCTCATCCAAAACTCACCTCAACATCGCTCAACCTGGATCCCACTCTAGAAACGTCATTCCCAAATTCTGCCTCGGAACCTCATCCCCTTCACCCCCAATCCATCCCCAAATTCCAGCTCAACCAAAATTCCACTCTGGGACGAAAACTCACTTGGGGGACCTTTATTTCATCTGGAAACATTATACTCCAAACCAACTCTACTCTCTCCCATCCTCGCCCCTGAATCCACACAATGGACCCTTCCCCTTCACCCCACCCACCACCGCGTTTCAACTCAAGACACTGAACCCCACATTCGCTTCCAGAACTTTCATTCCAGACAGCTCTGGGGCCTTCAATCCAGCTCAGCCCACACCGCCCCACACCCCTGGTTCGGAATCGCCGCAGCCCCAAAACACTCATCCAAAACATGGCTGAGGAACCTCCCAGCTCCGGCGGACCCCAAAACACAGCCCCCAAACTCAGCTCCGGCACCCCTCCTCCCAGCCCAGCCTGAGACGTCAGAAGCTTAGCGTTAGATTCAAGCTCAGACACTCCAACCCAGCAGGCTGCTGGCTGCCCCAGCCCCTCGGACTCCAGGGCCCTGAGCCTTCCCAGGACACGGGCTCCACACCCACAACCAGAACAGTCCATCCTGTATCAGTTCAGAGTCCTCGTCCCCCCCTCCACCAGCCCTCACCCCGGAACCACCCGCAGTGCCTCACTCCCTGGTGGTGTGGGCTCCGGACTATGGGCACAGAATGTCTGCCAGCCCGGATAGCACTGTGGTGCCCTGCCACCCCCCACCCCGTCTGAATTCACAGGTGGCCGTGAGGTGTGGCGGCCAGTGCTCGGGCTCTGGAGACAGCCTGCTGCCTGGGTTCAAGTCTCAGCTTTGCCACTTGCTACTTAGTCTCTGCCCACCTCAGAGTGTGCCAGGCGCTTAGGACAGAGCTGCCCTTTACCTACAGGGCGGTTATGTAAGACGCTGTCCTCGGTGGGGCACAGGGACTCAATAAACAACTGGTATTGTTACTGCTGTCCCCATTGGTGATGGTGATGATGATGATGATGATGATGATGATGATGATGATGATATAGTTTCACTATTTTCCCCGTGGAACAGAGGAGGAAACCAAGGGTCAGAGAGGACCACAGAGACCGGACACCGTCCACCAGGATCGGAACAGCGCCTGCCGGTGGCAGTGCGTGTGTGCCCTGTGCCCGTGCATGTCCCCGCGTCCCCCGGGCTCCCCTGCTGGGCCGGCCCTTCCTGCCGCCGGCGGCCCGCGCCCCCCTGCCCCGCGCTTCCTGTGCATGCCTGTTTGTTTTCGAGCCCTGGTGGCGGCGGCTGCGACGGCGGCGGCGGCGGTCGAAGGAGGGAAATCGTATTAATAATGCCCTGGTTCCAGCAGGAAACGGCCGTCAGACACGCTCGCCGCCTCCCTCCCTCAGCCCGGAGGCAGGAAACGCGGGGACGGGCGCCAAGGCCCTCGGGAGACCTCGCCGGGCCGCGGCGCGGGGCTGGGAGCGCTCACCTGATGTCCGGGTAGTCCCGCACCAGCACCCCCACCTCCACCTGGATGCTGGGCGTGTCTTCCAGCTGCAGGACTTCGGCCAAATGGGGCACCACGGCGTCCAGCCACGAGGCCTGCGACTCCTGCGGGGCAAGGTGCAGGCTCAGGCCCCCCCCCCCGCCCCTCCCCAAACCGCACCCTCCCTAAAGGACCCCCCACCCCCCGCCAGCGTCCTCATCTGTAAAACCCGCAGAGGACAGGCTGTTTATCTGGAGCCTTAGGGAATTTGAAGAAATATCCACACCGGAGGCGAGTCCCAGCTTTGCATGAAATTTGGGGCAACCCTCAAACCTAGAGGGAACTGGATGACGTGCCCACGGGATCGCTCTGTGTTCTCAAATTTGCAACAACAAATTTTTTTGTCCCAAGGGCTCCAGACTACAAACTCCTGTTAATGCGGCTGATGGGGCCCCTCGGGTCTGGGCAAACAGATATGGGTCGGTGACTTAAAACCCCTGGACTTGCCCTAACCGGTTTGGCTCAGTGGATAGAGCCTCGGCCTGCGGACTCAAGGGTTCCAGGTTCGATTCCGGCCAAGGGCATGTACCTGGGTTGTGGGCACATCCCCAGTAGGGGGTGTGCAGGAGGCAGCTGCAGCTGATCAATGTTTCTCTCTCATCCATGTTTCTAACTCTCTAACCCTCTCCCTTCCTCTCTGTAAAAAATCAATAAAATATATTTTTTTAAAAATAAAATAAAACCCCTGGACTCGGCAACGCTAAGATCCTGAGTCTGTCGCACGTGGCTTCTGCCTCGGTGCTCGGCCCGGAGTAACAGCCAGTGTGTGCGGAGGGTCGGCTCTGCGGTTTGGGGAGGGTCGGAGTGTCCCCGGTGGCGGGGCTGAAAGCTGGGTGAAGGCCTTATCCGAAGCCCCCGCCCCGCCGGGGGGTGGGTGATCCCGGAGCCCGCGCCCCGGCCGCACTGACCAGCCGCCGGAACAGCCGCTGCAGCTGCGCCGCGTCCTCGCGGAGCCTCCCGGCCACGCGGCTGCGGGTGCGCGAGCCGCAGCGCAGGCGCCCGCGGAACAGCGGCCTCACGTACTCGACCAGCGCCCGCCGGTGCAGCTCGGCCACCAGCTCCTGGGGACCCGGAGACGCGAGGGGTGTGAGCCGCCAGGGACCCCGCTCTCCCCGCTCCCCACCCCGAGCACCCGCGGGAACCCCTGCCCTGCCCTGCCCACCTGGCGCCGGGGCCCCTCCCCGCCCCCAGCCCCCGAGGGTGACCCCTGTCCTGTCTGAGGACACCCTCCTCCGCCCCTACCAGCTCGTAGACACCCCCTACCGGCCCCCCAAAGGGTGCCCACCCCGCCTTCGCCCCATTCTCCGGAGCTCCCAGAGGCCCCAACCCAGTCTACGCCCGCCCTACACCGCACGCCCGCCACCCCCCGGGCACGCCTCCCCCCAGAGCGCCACCTAGCTCACCCCGAAAGAACTGCTTCCTGCCTTGAGGGTGTCTCCCCCAGTAGAGCGCTCTGGCTCCCCCAACCCCTGCCCCAGCAGGCGCACCTGGTAAGGCTCATCCTGCATCCTGCGCAGGGCCAGGGCCTGCGCGCCCAGCGTGCCCACGATGCCGTCCAGGGCCTCCGTGCTGCTCAGCCACTTCCTGCGCATCAGCTTGCTGAAGTGTGGCTGGGGGGGCAAGAGTGGAGGGAGGGTCATACGCCCCTCCTGCCACCCCCTTTCTTCAGCGAGTATTCCGATACAGATTCCTAAAGGCTGCCCAGTGCCGGGGCCACAGCCCTGCCTTCCTGGGGTCAGAGTCCAGTGAGGGGGACAGACACTGTCCCCAGACCGTGATGACCCAGAGTGTGCAGGGCTGAGACCAGGAGCCCAGGCAGGGGTTTAGGAAGCTCAGGAGTCAGCAGAGAATCAAGGAGGGCTTCTTGGAGGAGGAGACATCAGAGCCGAGGCCCTGATGATGGTCACTGTTAGCCAGATGGCAGAGGGAGTGGCCCAACCAGAGGCAAGGGTGAATGAAGAAGGTTCAGATTTCAGACGGGCTTGCGGGTCAGAGGACTAGAAAGCAGATTGGGTGCGACTGGCAAGACCAGCTATGTAATTCTCAGGGCCCAGTGCAAATGAAATGGGAGACCCTTATTCAAGACTTACTAAGAACTTCAAGACAGAGACAGCAGAGAATGACACCACGCTCAGGCCCTTGTAAGCAGTGGGGTCCTGTGTGACCGCTCAGCTCACAGGGCCACCACTGGTGGTAGGACAGGGGGCCAGGGGGCGGGGCAGAGCACACAGGGCCTCCTCCGCTGTGTGAGAAACCCCAGCTTTCTCCTGGGGGCACCGGGGAGCCATAGCAGGTTCTGAGCAGAAGGGGGAGAGGGCCAGGTTTGTGTTTTACTGGGATTGATAGGAGGGAGCAAGATTGAGGCAGAAATCTGGGGGGAGTCTGGAAGGAGGAAAGGGGGGGGTGACAGGAGGAACGTAAGGTGGTATGAGCACACGATGCAGTGAATGGCCATGGGGAGAGGGAGGCTTCTGGGTGAGACTCAGGAGATGGGGGTGAGTGTCCACAGGGGTCTGAAGCAGGTCCCTATCCCACTCGGCCCTGCACCCCCTTTCTGCTCTCTCATCCTGACAGCAGCCCAGTTTTCTGAACCTCCAGAAATGGGGCCTGTGGGCTTTTGTTGAAAAGCTGGTGTGAAAGGTACATGTCACTGTTGCTACGAAGTCTGTACATTTATGAAAATAACGATGGCCAATGCCATGGGCCGGACCCAAGCCAAGCGCTGGTGGCCACAGTCCCATTGCTTCCTCGCAGCTCCTGGGAAGCCTGGAACTCCTGTCCCTCTGTCTAAACAGCGGCCCTGAGAGGACCAGCAATTTAGCCAAGGCCCCCCTGCCTGCAAGCGAGTAGCGGGGCCTGGAGCAAAGACTATATCCTCTTCCCAGCATCCCCACACGCACTTCCATCCACATACTTATTCATTTAGTCACTCAGCAAACCCTCTCAGCCTTCCTGTGGGCCCAGCCCTGGGTGGATCACTGGGGACACAGAGCAGAAGGAGACAGACAAACACTCGATCATCATAAGCAGGTCAAAGCGGGGTGGCAGCGGATGACATGAGGAGTTATTGTTCTTTGTGTCGGGAGTAAGCTTGGTTTTGTGGTTCTGTTTGTTTAGCGAGGACGCCTTATCTCCTGGAGATGCAGCTGCGGGGCTGACGGATGATGACAGATGTCAAGGGTCTGCGGGGGAAGGAGCCACGGCAGGAGGAGGCGGGGAGATAAACAAGCCTGGCCCCGGGCTGACTTGCTGGAGCTGGGAGATGGGTCCGCAGAAGGTCATTCTGTCATTCTGCCTAGTTTTGTGTATGTTTGAAATTTTCCGTAATAAGCAGTTATTTGAGAAACATTCCAACAAATCCTCGCTCTTGAGAAACTAGCATTCCAGTGGGAAGAGACAGATTAAAAAAAAAAAAATACAGCATGGTAGGTGGCCGTAGGTGCTTTGGTGACCAATAGAGCAAGAGTGAGGAAGGGAGCCCTAGCCGGTTTGGCTCAGTGGATAGAGCGTCGGCCTGCAGACTGAAGGGTCCCGGGTTCGATTCTGGTCAAGGGCATGGATCTCGGTTGCAGGCTTCTCTCCATCCCAGGCCCTGGTCAGGGTGCGTGCAGGAGACAACCAACAGATGTGTTCCTCTCACATCGATATTTCTCTCTGTCTTTCCCTCTCTCTTCCACTCTCTCTAAGATCAATGGAAAAATATCCTTAGGTGAGGATTTAAAAATAATAAAAATAAATAAATAAATAAATAAAAGAAATTTTTATAAAAAGAAGTGAGGAAGGGATTTTATTTTATTTTTATTTATTGAGTTGAGAGAGAGAGAGATGTTGTTCCACTGATTTATACACTGATTGGTTGATTCTTGTATGTGCCCTGACCAGGCATTGAACCTTGGCGTATTGGGATGACGCGTCAACCAGCTGGGCTACCCACTGAACTACCCAGCCAGGGTGGGAGTCTGTTTTAAACAGGACAGTCAAGGGAGGTCTCCCTGAGAAGGTGGCATCTGAGTCAAGACATCAAAAGAGGTGAAAGAGGGAGCTATGTGGCCACCGGAGGGAAGAGGGGCCCAGCAAAGGAAGCGGGCAGTGCACAGGCCTGTCTGTGCGGGAGCAGCAGGGAGTGGTGTGGCTAGAGTGGAGTCAGGGGGAGCGTGGGGCAGGTGAGATCAGGGAGGGAAGGGAGAGACCGTGCAGGGCTTGGCAGCCAGGGCAAGGACTCCGGCTTTGGTCCTGCGTGAGCTGGGAGCTCTGGGGGCTTCTGAACAGAGGAGGGACATGCTCATCAGATGGAACAGGCATTGCCATCATCCGCCTCCACCACACCCTCAGTCTCATCCCACCAGCCTCCCCACATACTCTCACCACCTCTGAACCCAGCCCCCTCTGCACAGGAGCCCAGACAAGGGGCTCTAGGGTCTAGGGCAGGCTGGGCAGGCATGTAGGGGACCTGGGGGGGGGGGGGCTCCACCCAACCCCCAAGGCCCCTCCTGCTGGTCTTTTGTTTGTTAATCCTCACCGGAGGATATTTTTCCATTGATTTTTAGAGATAGTGGAAGGGAGGGGGAGGGGGAGAGAGAGAGAGAGAGAGAGAGAGAGAGAGAGAGAGAGAGAGAGAGAGAGAGACATCGGTTGGTTGCCTCCCACACATGCCCGGCCAGGGCAGGGATTGAGCCTGCAACCAAGGCAGTGACCTTGACCAGAATGGAACCTGGGCCCCTTCATTCCGCAGGTCAACGCTCTACCCACTGAGCCAAACCGGCGAGGGCTCTCTGTTCTCATCTTAAACATATCCTCCCACCTCTTCCTTCCTGTATCCCCTCTGTCCCCCAAATGGCCCAGACATGGCCATCACCCCCACCCCTCCCCCGCCTGCTTCCCAAACACTGAGTCATGGGCTGAAAGGAACCGGGGATGAGGGAATGTGCTCCCCTGTCCGGCCAGGGCCCCACCCAGCCCTCCGCCTGGCTCACCTGCAGCTCCTGGAACAGGAGGTCGGCCAGCACCCGGTGGCAGAGCCGGGTCACGCGGTCCAGAGCGCTGGCTGCGGCTTCCCGGGCAGGCTCACTTTCAGGGGGCCCCACCCGGGCCAGGCGCTCCGCCAGAGCCCTGTGGGGATCAGTGAAGCCAACGGTCAGGAGCCCCAACATTCAGCCCAACTGCCTGGACCTGTCTCCCTCCTTAAATGGACCTTATTTTGTGGGACACAGGTGCTGCGGAGAGTCAGGGGCTCTGGCGAAGGCCTGGGGGCTGGGAGATAGTAGGGGCTATCTGGGAGGCTGGGGAACTGGGGGGCTCTGTGGAAAGAATGGGGGCCCAGGGGGTGTTGTGGGAGGAAAGGAGTCTCTCTGGGTCTGTTCCTCTCGGTGAGAGTGGGGAGGTCTCCATTCTCAAAGCTTGTGATGCTAAGCATCTATGGTTCTCAAATTCCACCCTTCTCACTTTTTTTAAAATTTATTTTTTTATTGATTTCAGAGAGGGGGAGAGAGAGAGAGAGAAACATCGATGAATCATAGATCTGCTGCGTCCTGCACACCCCCTACTGGGGATCGAGCCCACCACCGGGGCATGTGCCCTTGACGGGAATCGAACCAGGGACCCTTCAGTCCGCAGGCCAACGCTCTATCCACTGAGCCAAACTGGCTAGGGCTCACTTTCTGACATCGTAGCAGTCTATGACCCTCCAAAGCCGAGAGGCGGCCTGAGGGCAGTTTGGCACTCTGCCCAAATCCCAGTGAACCCTTGAGTCCCTGTGCTCATAGGAGTTGTCAGATGTGCCAGGCGTTTCTCTGCAAAAGAGTGGGGCCAGCCCTGGCCGGTGGCTCTGTTGGTTGAGGCGTCGTCCATACCAAAAGGTGGCGGGTTCAATTCCTGGTCAGGGCACATACCCAGGTTTCGGGTTTGATCCTCCTCTCCGCCCCCCCCAATCAGGGTGCATGCAGGAGGCAACTGATGTTTCTCCCTCTCTCCCTTCCTCTCTCTGAAATGAAAAAAAAAGAGTGGAGGCAACTATCCCCCCAGTGGGGACAGATCAAATAAAGGCGGGCACCCCCAAGAAGTGGGGTACAGTTCAGGTCTGAACAAGGCATGTGGGAACTCTTTGTGAGCGAACAGAAAGATCTCCAAGCTGTTAAAGGGGCAGGGTGTGTTTTCTATACGACCATTTACATGGTCTTAAAGCAGCGGTTCTCAGCCTGTGGGTCGCGACCCCTTTGGCGGTCGAACGACCCTTTCCCAGGGGTCGCCTAAGACCATCCTGCATATCAGATATTGACATGACGATTCAAAACAGTAGCAACATGACAGTGATGAAGTAGCAACAAAAATAATTTTATGGTTGGGTCACAACATGAGGAACTGTATGTAAAGGGCCAGAAGGTTGAGAACCACTGTAAAGGAAAAGGAATAGGTATGCATATATTTAAATATATTTGCATGTATACGGTAGGAGATGTGCATATGCATATACGCATATGTATGACGTGTATACAGTATATATGCACATACACATTAATTTATATCTGTTTACTGGTAAATATATGAACTATGTCTGCAAAGATATGGAGACACTAGCAATAACTGGTTGCCTCTAAGTGGGGGCGGGGGGAGAATGCGGTGGGCATAAGGATTTTCCCTGTTTTAGGTTAATGAAGAAGGGAAGTATGAGAAGAAGGTAAACAAAAGCCTGGAATTCTTAGAGCGGGTTCTGGAATCTCAGCACTCCAGGGTTGATGACGCCTAACCCTGGTCACTTCCAGGAGTCCCAGGTTTTATGTTTCTAGGGCCCATGCCCCTGCCTCTCCAGGATCTGGGCATGCAGTGCAGCTCGTCCCCCGGGAATGGCCTCTTCCCCGCACACTGTGGGCGCTCTCACCTCAGGGGGGGCCCGCAGTTGACCAGGGAGATGGTCCTGCTGATATAGGTCTCGGGTGGCAGCTCCCGGACTCCTGGGCTCTCATGGAACCGCTCCACGCGCTGCTGGAAGCTGGGGGGCGGGGAGGGGGGGGCGGGAAGAGAGGGGCGGGGGCCAGATGACAGATGACAGATGGAACACTGCTGGATTAGGGTCCCTTGCGGGCACTGAGCCCAGCAAAGCCTGTGATCCCCACTGAGGCACCCCTGCCCATCCTGCCTGGTTCTTCCCTTTCATCTCTCCCCTCCCTCTGTTGCATCCCGGACTCTGATGCACCCCCCAACCTGTGCCCTGCCCCCAGCCCCCCATACCTCTGCAGGAACTCTGCCAGCCCCCCCAGGCAGCAGTGGGCCATCCGCTCCCCGAACTCCTGGCTGATGCGGGGCGCCCGCTCTGTGTGCTCCTCCAGCAGCTGCAAGGTGGGGGGGGGGATGAGGAGGGGTGAGGAGGGGGCGAGGCCCCGCTTTCCCACCCGGCACTGCCCAGCTGGTTCTCTTTCCCTTCCCCGCCCCTACCTCACACACGTCCTGGGCCAGGGTGCTCGGCAGGTCCTCCGGGCTCGCCCAGTGCTCCTCGTCCTCCTGCAGCGCCCGGAGCAGGGCTGCCCGCGTCTGGGCCTTCGCGGGGAGGTGGGGGAGGCAGAGTCAGGGGTGCCTGGGAGCCCCTCCCTCCATGATCCCCGCACCTTGGCCCCGAGCAGGTCTGGATTCCACCAGGGAGCTCCTCAAAGTTACGCGGGAGGAAGCTGGACCACAAAACCTCCCGCCCTTCCCACTGCTCAGCCCACGCGTGGAGCTTGCTGCTAAGAGCTGGTTTTAAGCTTCCTCTATCTACTCACTACCCAGAGCAGCGGTCGCCAGCCGGGGTCCGCGGGCCACTGGTGGTCCGTGAGGTCCGAAAGCTTGGCGACCGCTGAGCCAGAGGGTTTAAGGGTCAACTCTCACTATTTCATGGCCCTAAGGCTCTGCTCTCAGGTTTGACAAAAAAAAAAATCATTCAAGATTGTCAGATTCTGGAATTCAAAAATTCCCAGGCTCTGTGATTCTAAGGTTGACCCATCTCTGATTCTCTGGTCCAACGTTGACCTTCAACTCAGGGGCTCTGACAATCTAGACATGTTCAAGCCTAAGGGTCTCCTCGCTCCAGTTGCAAAGACTCTGATTTTTGTGGCCGAGGCAGGGCCTCCATTCAGGTAGGAAACCCCCCGAGGCCACCTGCTCTGTGGGGTCTGGCCCAGCCACTTATAAACCAGGTTCACTATCCGTCCTGCTGGGACGGATGGACAGACGGACGGACAGACGGACGGACGCAAAAGGCGCCCCCGCGCCTCCTTCTGTGAGCCTTTGGCTCCGTGAGGGGAGGCTCCGTGTCTGACTTCCTCTCGCTCTGAGATTTGCATGTCTGAACGCATTGAACCGTCACTGGGTCTCTAGGCCCAGCTGGGTGCCTAGACTACAGCACTGAACCTAAGACAGCTGTGATCCGTGTGGATGTGCACGTCCATGTCCTTTGGACAGAGCTCAGAGCCCGCAAAGGGAAAAGGGAGATGGAAATACCAAAAGGGGGAGAGGAGAGGCCCCAGGCCCAGTGCGAGCCCTCCCTCCCGGCAGAGTGCCCCCCCCCCAATCCCCCCATACCTTAACATCTGTGACACATTCATCCTCCAAGCCCCGAACGGTGCCAGGCGACAGGAGGGGCCCCAGCTCCCCGTTCTCCAGGGCGACCATGTCCACCAGCCCCAAGACTTCTCTGAGAGGGGGAGTAAGAGACGGGGGAGGGGGTTGAGGGGGGGGCAGAGCAGCTAACCCTATCCCCCCCCTCCCTTCCTCGCTTGGGGCCAGCTTTGCTCTTCCCTCAGAGGAAGTCTCTGCAACATGGCTCCCCTGGGCCCAGCTCTCTGAGTCAGCTCCCAGATGGATGGTGTCTGGGCAAGACATAGGAGTCAAGTCCAAGCTTGACCACCTGGCACGCAGGGTCTCATGATGGTCACTTCGCCAGATGGAAGCTCCCTTGTCCCGCACGGCCTCTCCAGTCCAGCCCTCGCTCCAGGCCTGTGCAATCCCACTCCTTTGCCCACTGCTCACTCCCCACCCACCCCCCGACCCCCGCATTCACCAGGCTTTTGCTCAAGGCATCTTCCCAGCCAGAAGCACCATCTCCCTACAGATGGGACTTAACTCGGGTCTCACCATTCCAGGAAGCTTTCCAGACCCTCCCCTGCCTCCATCTCTCATGGACGGTGTGAGAGTGTCATTAGCACACAGTCCCAAGGGGGCTAGGGGGCCACGTGAGTAGCTCTTGCCTCCCATTCTTCTAGGGGCGGCACCCTGATTTTGCTGGAGGACGCACCCAGCCCTTCACGCTCGCCTGTGGTTTGGCTGTGGCCCACTCCCTTTTTCCCGGAGTGGGGAGGTGACCCAGGCACGGCTAACGGCCATATTCCACCCCCCAGCCGCCAGAACGGCTGTGCTTCAGATGCACAGGCTTGATAGGTATACGAGTCTAGGACCAGGAGGGCCAATGGTGCTACTTTCTAGATCAGCGGTTCTCAACCTGTGGGTCGCGACCCCTTTGGGGGGTCGAATGACCTTTTCACAGGGGTCGCCTAAGACCATTGGAAAACACATATATAATTACATACTGTTTTTGTGATTAATCACTATGCTTTCATTATGTTCACTTTGTAACAGTGAAAATACATCCTGTACATCAGATATTTACATTACGATTCATAACAGCAGCAAAATTACAGTTATGAAGTAGCAACGAAAATAATTTTATGGTTGGGGGTCACCACAACATGAGGAACTGTATGAAAGGGTCGCGGCATTGGGAAGGTTGAGAACCGCTGTTCTAGATGCTAAAGTTACAGAACTCAGGGGGCCAACAGCGCCGCAGTCCTCAGGCTGAGGGCTCAACAGGCTGGTGATTCTTGGATCAAAGAGGGGAGGAGGCTAAGGTGAAGGGTTCCAAGGCTCACTGACACTAAGACTCCAGGTTCGAAGCCTCATCAGTCCCAACGTTCTAAGGTTGGAAGAGCCAGCGGTGCTAAAGCGCTGGGAGCCAACCGGGTTCTAGAATTCAAAGGGCCAACAGAGCCAAGACTTGAAGAAGGGCCAGCGGAGCTTTGGTTCCGGGCGGGAAGGGCCCACGTGCCGAGGTTCTAGAATCGGGAGGATCGCAGTTCTAACGCTCCCGCCTCGGAGGAGCAGACACGCTGAGATTCTAGGTTGTCAATGTCACCAGGGACGGAGACTGGAGGCGCCCAGGGGGTTAGGTTGCAGAATGGAAGGGTCGGCTGTACTAGGTTCTCGGGAACCCAAGGGGCGGGGCGGGGGCTGGAGGTGGGCGGCCCTACAACCTCCGGGAGGACTGTGTCTGGTCCCCGCTCACCTGGGGTACACCTGGTGGTGCCAGTGCAGCAGCGCGTAGCGGTCGGCGAGCGGCAGCCTCCGGCGGGCGGCGGCGCCCAGCCACTCGGCCAGCGCGCTGTGGTAGCCGCGCAGGTAGACCCCGAAGGCGCCCAGGCCGGCGGGGTAGGCGGGCGCCAGGCGGCCCCGCACCACGCCCATGTCCTCCAGCAGCCGCGCCCGCAGCGCCTCCAGCTGCGCGGCCAGGCCCCCGGGCGCCCCCGGGGCCGCCGCCTCCAGGCGCTCCCGCGCCGCGCGCGCCACCGCTTCGGCCCAGCGGGCGCGCAGCCTGCGGGCGGCCCCGGGCCCCCGGCGCCCGTCGGCCGCCTCCTCCTGCACCAGCACCTGGCCCAGCTGCGCCACGGCGCCCGCCCCGGCGCCCACGCCCGGCCCGGGGCCCGCCAGCGTCTCGCGCACCAGCGCCCACAGCTCGCGCTGCAGGGCCTCGTACAGCAGCGCCACGTCCCGCGCCCGGCGGCCGCCGCCGCCTGCGCCCTCGAGCTTGGGCGGCCCGGGCGCGCCCCCCGACGACGCCAGCTCCTCGGCTTCCAGCTCCAAGATGTGCTCGTCGGCCCGCGCGAGCTCGCGCTGCTGGATCAGGCTCAGGATTTCCAGCACTGTGGGCGCAAAGCGGAGTCGGGGTCGGAAACTGGGAGAGCGGGGCGGGGCGGGGCGGGGGGGGGGGGTCGGGGGAGGGGCGGGGGGAGGTAAGGTGTGGAGTCTGGGGCGGTTCAGGAGAAGGGGGAAGAGACAGGGGGTCCGAAGCGGGGTTGGGGGCAGGAGGAAGGAGGGGGTGGAAGAGGACATTGAGGGCTGGTGGGGGAGGATGGAAGAGGCAGGACAGAAGTGGAGGAGGGGGTCCAGGGAGGAGGCAGAGGAGACTGGAGAGGAGGAGGCCAAGAGAGGGGAGGCCCTAGCCGGTTTGGCTCAGTGGATAGAGCATCGGCCTGCGGACTGAAGGATCCCAGGCTAGATTCTGGTCAAGGGCACATGCTCAGGTTGCGGGCTCGATCCCCAGTGGGGGCCTCGTAGGAGGCATCCGATCAGTGATTCTCATCATGGATGTTTCTATCTCTCCCTTTCCCTTCCTCTCTGAAATCAATAAAAACTTTAAAAAAAAAAAAAAAGAGTGTGGGGAGAAGTGAAAAGGGAGGAGGGGCTCCGGGCGGGGGGCATGGAGGAGAGGGGATGGAGGAAGGGGCGTGGAAGAGGACCAGGACCAGGGGAGGAGACAGGAGAGGTTAGGGAAGGGAAGAGGGTTTGGCGATGGAAGTGTCTGAATATGGGAAGTAGGTTAAAGGACTAGATAGAGGATGTCAACTTAGTAAGAGGGTTGGAGGGGGAGTCAGAGGAAGTGGGTGAGAAGGGGCTGAGGAAGAGGGAGAGGGTTAGGGCATGAGGTGAGGGGTTGAAGCAAGGGAGCGGGTATTAGGGAATGAGTAGATCTGGCGAGTTGAGGGGCGAGGGTAGGAAAGGGGCATCAGGGTCAGAGAAAGGGGCCAGAGGACGTGGCAGGGCCAAGGGAGAGGGACAGGGATGGAGACCGCCCGGGACCAGCGGCAGGTGGAGGCTTGGGCAGGGGGGAGGGTAGCCAGGCCAGAGGTGGGTCTTTTGGGGGTGGGAACAGCTGTGGGGTGATCTGGCACCCTGAGGAGTTCAGTCCCCCCCCCCCCCCAGGGAGGGGGTCATGGGACAGGGAGGCCTTTGAATGAAGGCAGAGGGAGGGTCCCAGTGGCCCAGGGTTACCCCCGACACCTCCACCCCCCTCCACTTCCTCCCTGGCAGAGAAACTATTTCCTGTCCAGCGCTATTTCTGCCCATCCGTTTCCAGAAGGCGGGGGCTCCAGTCACCCCCTTCTCACCTCCCTGCAGTGCCCTCCCAGTCCCCAGGGAGCAGGGGCTGAAATAGCCGCTGGCCAGGATGTGGAGGGCATCAGAGGACTCGGCAAGGGCTACCCATGGGGGGCGGGGGCTGGGAGTTAGGAGGGGGCGGGGGGGGGGAGGTAGAGGATGTAGAGACAGGGTTGGGTGGGGCTAATGAAGGTGGGGATTGGGGCAGGGCTGGGGATGAAGATGGAGGTGAGGATGGGGATGAAGATGGGAGCTGGGATGAGGGTGTTTAGGGTTAGTGTGGGGTTGGGCTGAAATCGGTGGAGGGGGATGGGAAAGGGATGGAGAATGACATCTGGGGTTTGGGGGAGGGATGGGGCTGGAGATGTGGGTGGAGTGATTTCGGTGAGAGCTGAGGCTGGGAAGAAGGTAGAGGTGGGTATGAGTTTGAAGAGGTGGAGAACGGGTGAAGTGGAAGGTGGAGGTTGGGGGGGTAGGACTAGGACCCAGTGTAGGGGTGGAGATGGGGTTTAAAACAAAGGAGGAGGCCGAGTTGGGGGTTGAGGTTGAAATGGGGGCTGAGGGGGACGAGGACCGAATGAGGAAGTTGGGGAGGGGAATGGGGTGGACGGTGGGTGCGGAGATGGACCTGGGGTTGCGGGTTAGGAGTAGATGAAGAGGGGAGAGGGTTGGAGTTGTACTTGGGGGTGGGATTAGCATAGAGAAATGGGTCGAGGGATGGGACCGGACCAGTTGGTGGTGGCCATGGTGTCGGGCAGAGCGATGAGGTTGGTAATGGCATTTGGAGAAAGGGGTAGGTTGGGGATACGCGTGAGATATGCCTCAAGGTGGAGGTTGCTGCTGAGGTTGGACTAAACATGGGATAGAAACCAAAAAGGCGTTAAGGAAGACACGAGCTTGGGGCAGGAGTGGGGTTGAGGACACAGACGGCGGTGTTATGAGTTGAATTGTCCCCCCCCCAAAAAAAAACCAACAACAACAACCATGTGAGGGCCTAACCCCCAGGACCTCAGAATGGAACCTTATTTGGAAATAGGCTCTTTACAGAGGCAATCAAGTTAAAATGAGGTCACAGGGGGATCCTGATCCAATCCGATGAGTGTTCCTATAACAAGGGGAGACTTGGCCTAACCAGTTTGGCTCAGTGGATAGAGCGTCGGCCTGTGGACTGAAGGGTCCCAGGTTCGATTCCGGTCAAGGGCATGTGCCTTGGTTGCGGGAACATCCCCAGTGGGGGATGTGCAGGAGGCAGCTGATCGATGTTTCTAACTCTCTATCCCTCTCCCTTCCTCTCTGTAAAAAATCAATAAAAATAGATTTTTTAAAAAACCAAAACACGAAATTCTAAAAAAAACAAAACAAAACAAGGGGAGACGGGCACCAAGATAGACGTGCGCCGAAGGAAGGTGATCTGAGGAGTCACGGAGAGGAGCCACGTGACGTTAGGGGGCTGGGGTGATGCAGCCACAAGCCCAAGAGACACCGAAGATTGTCGGCAAAGCGCCAGAAGCTGGAAGAGGCCAGGGAGCAGCCTCCAGGGAGGACTCGGCTACAGGTCTCGGAGGGCGTGGCCCTGCCAGCACCGCGACTTTGGACTTCTAACCTGCAGGCTGCGAGAGGATACGGCTCTACAGCTTTAAGACCCATAGTTCGGGCAGCTAACCCAGAGGGTGGGAGATTTGGGGTGATGTAGTCAGGAGATAAAGGTAGACATTGGCATGGACCTGAGTTTAAAAACGAAGCTTGGACATGAGTTGAGGTGGGGATGAAGTTGAGGGTCAAGGCTGGGGCCACTGAGGTTCGGAGTGGGCGGGAAGAGGAGAAGGGGTTGAGGATGAAGGAGGGGGTTGAGGTGGGGGTGGAGTCTGGGGCAGGGGCTGGGCACAGGGTGGAGTTTGGAGTTGAGGGAGGGGCATGAGGTCAAGGTGGAGTGTGGATACTTTGAAAGGAGATGGGACTGAGGTCGAAGTTGAGGGCACTGAGAGAGGGTTGAACTTGGGGGTAGGGGGTTGGAGGAGGTGGGATGAAAGCGGGTGATTCCCTTGCTGCTGGACACGGGGTCAGGCTGAAGGTGGCAGGCGGAGGGAGGGACAGACGGATGGGCGTGGCGATGGGTGGAATGTGGAGCTTGGTGATGGGATCAGGACTGCAGGGACCCGCTGGCCTCGCCCATGGAGGCAGGCAGGGCCGGGTGGAAATGGGCATGGTGACCCCCCAGGCCTGGGTCAGGACTCACCTGACAACGGCTCCTTCATCTTTGGGGGCTCCCGGGCCTTGGGCGGGGGCTCAGGAGCCGCCTCGCCTGCAGGCACCACCCTCTCGGCCAGGGAGGCGCGCCGGGGCTTGGGCCCGCGCCCCAGCCTCAGGAAGGCCAGCCTCCGGGCCGCCTCCCCGGTCTCCTCATCCCCCTGGGCGCGGGTCCCCTGCAGCCTGGCCAGGAGGCCGAAGTCCGCCGAGCTCCTGCGTGTGCCTGGCATCAGCACTCGGCCCAGGAAGGAGCGGGGCTGCCCGTCGCCAGGGCTGCCCGCCCGCCGGCCAGGGGTCCAGGCCAGGCGGAAGGGAGCCAGGCCCGCCAGCTTCTCCAGCGTGGGGCGGCGGCCACACGACGTCCCGTTGGGCAGGGTCCCCAGCCGCCCAGGCTCCTCCTCTTCCAGCCCGGGAACATCCTCAAAGGGGTTCCGCGAGGACCTCTGGGGCAGGGTCCCTGCCCGGGGCACCTTGGCATCTGCCACCCGGAGGCTCTTCAGGATGGGCATTTTGCCAGGCGGGGGACCTGGGGGGGGGGAAATAATGGGCCGTTAATATGCTGATGACAACCCTGGCTGGTTTGGCTCAGTGGCTAGAGCGTCCGCCTCCAGACTGAAGGGTCCCGGGTTCGATTCCGGACAAGGGCACATGCCCAGGATGCCAGCTCGATCCCCTGTGGGCGGTGTGCAGGAGGCAGCCGATCCATGATTCTCTCTCATCATTGATGTTTCTATCTCTCTCCTCCTTCCTCTCTGAAATCAATAAAAAATAAAAGTATCGCCGAAACCGGTTTGGCTCAGTGGATAGAGCGTCGGCCTGCGGACTGAAAGGTCCCAGGTTCGATTCCGGTCGGGGGCATGTACCTGGGTTGCGGGCACATCCCCAGCAGGAGATGTGCAGGAGGCGGCTGATCGATGTTTCTCTCTCATCGATGTTTCTAACTCTCTCTCTCTCTCTCTCTCTCCCTTCCTCTCTGTAAAAAATCAATATATTAAAAAAATAAATAAATAAATAAATAAAAGTATCTTGATGACAGTCCTTCCGCGTCCCCAGCACTTCGGGGCTGAGCACACACGGATGCTTTGAGCCCTCACCATCCCATGAGGTGAGCACTGTTACTGGGCCCGTTTTGCAGACGAGGACACAGGCTCAGAAGGGCAAAGGCCCTCGCCTAACGCCCCTCAGTGATTCAGGGGCAAAGGCAGGACTCGCGCCCAGACCTGTGTGACCCCGGGGCCTGGGCTCCCCCAGGGCATCGGCTCGCAGGCCCTCCCCCCACCGTACTCGCCCCGCGTGGTTGTCATCCCAGTTCACCCGCACGCACCCACCGTGAAGGAACAGGCTCAGAGAGGGGAAGGGCGCCCCTCAAGGTGTCACAGCAGCAAAGGGCAGACGGCTTGAGACCCAGGCCCCCCCCACGCCCCCCCCCGCCGCCCCGTTATCCGGGTCACACACCTGTGCACCTGCCTCATCTCCCCTGTCCAGTCAGTACCCTGTCACCTCTACCCCTTTCATTCCCTCAGCAACACTTCCTGGGAAGTGTCCACAGGAGGCGAGTCCACAGAGGCAGAGATGAGTGGTTGTCAGGGGCTGGGAGTCACTGCTTAATGGATACAGAGTTTCTGTTTAGGGGGATGAAAAATTTCCATCTGGAACTAGATTGAGGGGCGGTTGACAACACTGTGAATTACTAGATGCCAATGAATAGGACCCTTTAACACGGTTAACACGGTCTTGGCCAGGCCGCTCCATATGGCAAGGCCGTGGGTTCAATCCCTGGTCGGGCACATACAAGAACCACCAGTGAATAAATTAAGTTGATGCTTCTCTCTCTGTCTCCCTTCCTCTCTTTTTCAAATTAATAATAATAATAATAAAATTAGGCTTAAAAGATAAAATGGCCCTAGCCAGTTTGGCTCAGTGGATAGAGCGTCGGCCTGTGGACCAAAGGGTCCTGGGTTCGATTCCGGTCACGAGCATGTACCTCGGTTGCAGGCTCCTCTCCAGCCTGGGCCCAGCCCCGGTCAGAGCGTGTGCAGGAGGCAACCAATCAATGTGTTTCGCTCACATCACTGTTTCTCTCTGTCTTCCCCTCTCTCTTCCACTCTCCCTAAAAGATCAATGGAAACATATCCTCAGGTGAGAGTTAACAAAACAACACAACAACAAAAAAGGGTAATATGTTGAATTTTGTTATTCGTTTTACCACAGTAAGGAAACACCTTCCTAGGTGTTTTCCCTGGGCCCAGCGCTGTGCGGGCTTTGAGGATGCAGCGGTGGCCAAGGAAGACCCAGTCTCTGCCGGCACCGAGCTCGAAGCTTCCTGCCCATTTCATCTCCTTAGTCCCTCGTCTCCGTCCCTGTCCATGGCCCAAGCCCCTTTCTGCTTCCCTGCCTCCTCCCTGGTTTCCAAACATCCAGTCTTGGCCCCTCCAGCCCACCCTTGAGGATCTTGTTAAAGCACAAACCTGCCCCTCCCCTTCTCTTAACCTTCCATGGCTCCCAGTGCGACTGGGAGAAAATTCAGGCCCCTCCCTTGCCAGCTGTCGCCTCACCAGTGCTGTCCTACCTTCTCCTCCTTGCTCCAAACTCCTCTGGGTTTCAGCATCGGTTGGTCTTTTTACATGGGAGCCTGTTCTCCACGCTTTACTCATATTTTCGGACGCAGCCCCAACTCTCCCTCCTCCAGGAATCCCTACCGGTGCCCAGGCTGGGTCACGTGTCCCCCTCGGCCCAGCCCACTGGGTCGGCACTGTCTGGGGATGGTCCTGTGTCCCCCATGGACTGTGAGCCCCGCGAGGGCAGGGGCAGGACTCTCTCTGTCACCACTGTGTCCCCAGCTCCCAGGACAGGCATTTGGGGAGTGAATGGGTAATAAACAGGAAATGAAGGAAGGAGGCAAAGACTTCATTCCTTGTGGGGAAGAGGAATGATGAGTCAAGGGGAGAGGTCAGGGAGGAGCAGCCACACAGGACCCCGGGCCCTGGGGAGCCATGCGAGGGTGCTTTCCAAACACCCAGAGAAGTACAGGGGACACACTTCACCAGCAGCTCTGTGCCTGCAGGCCTAGCTGCATCTAAAGCAAACACTGGCTCGATTTTTCAGGCTTTTTAAGAATCAGGCATTGCAAACGCATGACCCCGCAGCCCGCCCGGTCCTACGCGCCCAGCCCAGCCCTCTCCCGAGGGAAGCAGCTTCTGAATGTCCACGAGACCTTGTCCCTGGGCCCACACAGACCTGTGTCCAGAAGTAATAACTGATCCTTCTACATGGTCGCAAACTCTATAAACGCTGTCATTCTACGTGGATCCTGCGACTTGCTGTGTGTGTGTGTGTGTGTGTGTGTGTGTGTGTGTGTGTGTGCTCACTTACCCATGCCTGTCTCTGTGGCTCTAGCGGGTTTATTAAAATATATATATATTTTTATTGATTTCAGAGAGGAAGGGAGAGAGAGATAGAAGCATCAATGATGAGAGAGAATCCTTGATCGGCTGCCTCCTGCACACCCCCCACTGGGGATCGAGCCTGCAACCCGGGCTTGTGCCCTGACCTGAATCAAACGGTGACCTCCTGGTTCATAGGTCGACACTCGGCCACTGAGCCACACCGGCTTGGGCTGTGGCGGGTTTATTTTAAGAGCTGCATGCTATTCTGCTGCGTGCCTATGGAAAATTGTGTCAAGTTGCCAGATGTTCACATGGTCTCCTACTGCGGGATGCATTGTCTTGAACTGGGTCTGAGCAGGCGAGGCTGACGGAGCCCTGAGCGGGCAGGGCTGGGGCCCTTCCCTGGTGGGGCGCTCCCTTCTTTCCTCCCGACTTTAGTCTCCAGACCTCAGCTGTCCTTCCTCAAGCCTCCTTCCCTAGAAACACCCTCCCAGCCCCTCTCCAGTCTTCATTGTCCCGCATCCCCCAGGGAGGCAGTCGCCATGGCAACCCTTTGCCGGAGCCCCCATGGTTGAGGGCAATCGATACCACCCCCCCGCCCCCACACACACTTTTCACACACTGATTTCTCTGTCTTTCGTCCTCCAAACAGGCTTCTTCTGTGCACTTCACCCTCACCCCAAAATGGCCCCATCGTGCCCCAGAACTGGCTCCAACATCCCCCCAACTCCACCACCCCTTCAAAATGGGGGGCTCCCATGTCCCTCCAGTTGAAGTCAGCGCCGCCCAAGCTAGATTGGACATTCTCCCACTGGCTTCCAGGTCCACCCCGAACCGGATCCAGTACCCCCAAACCCACATCCTCAGACCTGGCTGCAACATTTTCCCAAAACTCGCCCGACGTCTTTCCCCTTCCTGGCTCCAACACCCCCTCTGCCAGCTGGCTCCCACATCCTGCCCTCCAGCCCCTGTCTGCCTCCCGGTGCCAGGCCCCTGACTCACTTCCGAGGCATCCCCAAGCCCCCAGCCCCCGGCTCCTGCAGGATGTCTTGGCCACCAGAGCTTCCCTCTCTGGGCTCCTCCTCCTCTTCCTCGCTGCCAGCCTTTCCCCAAGGACCCAAACCCTCCACCGGCCGCCTGGCCTGTTTGCAGAAGTCCTCGCCTCCTGCCCCCAGGGCCCGCTCCGGAGAAATGCCCTTACAGATGGTGCGTCCAAGCCGGACCCCAACCAACACCGCCCCAGGGCAGCCTTGCCCCCAAACAACCCCTACCAGCCCAGCCTGTATCAAGCTCATCCCCATCTTCACGCCCAACCCTCCCATCACCTCTCCTGCTCCATCTCCATCCCAACCCTTGTCCCCTCTCCCATCTCCAAGACTCCGTCCCTTAGGGATAGAGCGAGACACCCATCCCTCCCTGGCCTCGGCCTTGGCCTTCCCACCTGAACCGGGGGACGGCCGACCCCACCACGTCTCACCTCTTCTCTCTCGGTTCCAAGCTCTCCACTGCCTTGCAGACTTTGCACCCCAGGACCTCCTGCGCCCTCCTCCTGCTCCCATCTCCCCCTGCCCTTTCGCTGGCACCCTGTGGAAACCAGCCCCCAGACTCTCCCTCTGCCCAGCTTCTGGCTTCAGGACACATGTTTTCTCGAACTCTGGTCTAGCCCATCTCTGGGCCGAGCCACACTCCTGGAGGTCCGCGAGTCCCACCCCCGCCCCAGCACCCCAGCACCCCAGCACGCTCACCTCTGTCCTCGGAGCCTTGTCCTTCTGTCCCTGCTGTTGTCCTGTCCTGTCCTGAGGCTACTTCAGCCAGGACTGCTAAGAGCTTGGATCTGAGGAGGGGGGGGTTAGAGGAGGTCAATTTCCTGTCAGGAAACCCCTCCCTCTCTGGGGCCAGGGGTGGGAAGGACTCGTTATCTGTCTGCCCTTTTAGGCCAGGCTGCGGTTTGGCCCCCACCCTCCCCCCGGCCCGGCCGGAATCGGACCCCCGCCCCCTGCCTGCTCTTCACGCCTCCCAAGGTGACAACACTATCCTGGGCGCCTGGGGAGACACCCCCTGCTGGATGTGGGCCCAAAGCTCGCTCTGGGTTTCCTGCTGTGGGGAGAAGACAAGGAGGAAGGTTCTGCCCGGCCCAGATGCCAAGATTGGAGGCCTAAATGTTGGCACTGGCATAGCTTTGGAAACGGGACTGTTCTCCTGAAAGCCCTTGTCCCCAGGTTCTGCAAAGCACTTCTGTTGTCCTGCACTACCCTCCCCCCCAAACCAGGGGCATGGCTCTGATTGGTCGATTTCTTTCTTTTTTTAAAATATGTTTTATTGATTTTTTTTTTTTTTTTTTTAGAGAGAGAGGAAGGGAGAGGGAGTGAGAGACCGAAACATCAACAATGGGAGAGAATCATTGATTGGCTGCCTTCTGCATGCTCCCCAGCGGGAATCAAGCCTGCAACCCGGGCATGTGCCCTTGACCGGAATCGAACCCGGAACCCTTCAGTCCACAGGCCGACGCTCTATCCACTGAGCCAAACCAGCGAGGGTGGTTGATTTCTTCATTGCGCCTTCCGAGGTCGAGGTGGGAACCAATCAGACTCCTCTGTCTCCCCTGTAGATTCTCTGACTCTCCTACTCGAATGTAAATCCAAAGCAGATAGATGGTCTGGTGTTCGTCTCTATGCCCCTCACCGTGTGCCCGGCACAGAATAGGTGCTCAGTACATATTTGTTAACCGAACGTACAGATGGGAATAAGTCAGAGTGGAAGCTGAGGATGGAGGTGGCAGGTGCAGTGGGGGCTGGGGATGAGTTGGGTGTTGCGTGAGGGTAGATGCAGGATTAGGGGTACTTTTAAGGCTGGGTTTTAGGCTTAGGTGGCCTTTTGTTGGGCTGGGCTGGGTGAGCACTGGCCCAGGCAAAATTGGGGTTGGGGTCAGCATTATGGTCCGGAGCTGGGCTCAGGGTCTCCGCTCCTCTCCAGCCCCAGCCCCAGGCTCCGTGGACAGCGGCTGGGAGAAGCAGGCCAGGCATTCAGATTCCAAAGTCTGCAGGCTTCTGTCCAACTGGGTTTGCCAGACAGTGGGCGTTGGGGTAGGAGCTTTTTTTTTTTTAATTCTTTGTCCTGTATTATCTGTATCTTTTCCATATTGAGTATGGGATGTGTGTGTGTGTGTGTGTGTGTGTGTATATATATATATATATATATATATATATATATATATATATATTAGAGGAAAGGAGAGGGGGAGAGAGATAGAAACATCAGTGATGAGAGAGAATCATTGATCGGCTGCCTCTGGCATGCCCCCTACTGGGGGTTGAGCCCATAACCCCGACACGTGCCCTGATCGGGAATCAAACCTTGACCTCCTGGTTCATAGGGCGATGCTCAATTACTGAGCCATGCCTGCGGAGGGAGGCCCAGGCTGGGACTAAATGTCCTGTTAGGGGCTGTGATCCCTGTGAGGCCTCCCTCTCACTTTTTCGGATTTAATTTTTATTGATATAATTCACATGCCATAAAATTCAACTTCTGAAGTGTACAATTCAGTGGTTTTTAGTATATCCTCAAAGTTATGACAACTATCACCACAATCTAATTCCAGATACATTTTTTCCCCCTTCTCTCTTCCAATCTCTCTAACAATCAATGGGAAAATATCCTCGGGTGAGGAGCCAGGGTGGGACTTACATGTGTAGGAAGGAAGGTGATCTTCTGCCCCCGTGTGGTGCGTGGAAGAACTGCAGCTCTGTGCCAGGTTTGGGAAGGGATTAGGGGTGACTCAGCTCCCCCAACCCATTCCCAAGTCCCCACTCCTCACTGAGCAGAGCCCTTGTGATCTCAAATCTTCTAAACAACCCTGAACTCTTCCCTCTCCGCCTCCCACCATCCCCGAGACTCCTTGGGCCCCATTTGCTGAATAATAATAGTAATGTCGCCCACTTACGAAGGTCTATTCGGTTCCCACGGGAAGCACTTTACTTTTATAGGCTCATTAATTTACTGCAGACGGAGGCTGCAATATTGTTATTCGAGGACAGTAACCATAGTGGTTAAGAGCCCAAGTTCTGGAGTTTGGAGGCGCTTGGGTTCAAGTCCCAGCCCTGCAGCTGACCAGCTGTGTGATGAGCATCTGATTTCTCTCCTTGGGGCCTTCGTTTCCTCATCTGTAAATGGGGTTCATAATGACGGTTCGACCTCATGGGGTGCAGAAAGGATAAAGCCCTCAGAGTCTGCCACAGAGGAAGCCTCTGTGAGTCTATGCAGCTGATAGTATCCACCAGGGATAGGCTGGCAAATGTTTAACAAGCAGCTCTTAGGGGTGGTGGTAGGGAGTCTCAACTTGTAGCATTTGCCAATTTCCATGGTGTAAATGTTCCCACCATGGCTGATTTCCAGGTGCCATAACTGAAAGTGTTTATTTGTTGGTGGGGACGAGATGCTCAGTAGTTCATTATATAGCGCTTTCACTATGCAGATGTAATGACCTCAGGATCACAGATGATAGCAAAATGATTAGGGTGTGACGAATATTTATTACCTTTGTTTTAAATATAACGTATTTAATTGTAGGTTTGCACAATTTGATTTTTAATGATGACTACTTAACAACCAGTTCCAAAATTCCTGAGACCTTAACAATCGGCTGGCTTGAGCCAGCTCCATCATATCGCGGTTATCTTCACACCCATTCTTTGAAAAGGAAAACTGAGGTTCAAGAAGAAGGTTAGATAAGGACAGGGCAGGGACTCCAACCAAGGGCCGTGCGATTGTGGGGCCAGGACTGTGGCTGCCCCTCTTTCTTTCCTCCCATTCTGGTCTAGAGGTCATGGCTGGTCCTCACAGCACCCGGTGCCCTCAGTGCAGCCCTGGCCTCCGTGGTTTCAGCTCGTCCTTCAGCAGAGCGTCTGAGCTTGCGGTTCCCCTGCTCCTGCCTCAGCCCCGCCAGGAGGGCAGCACGCGGACCCTCCCTCCCGCCCGCTCTATAGACGGGAAACCGAGGCTGAAAAGGCAAATGCCTGCCCTTGAAGGGCAGAGAGAGTCCCCGGGCCCCGGCTGGAGCGCAGAGGGGAGGACACTGCCCCGCAGCCTGGGGCCCGGAGTTCTCCGGGAGGTGGGAGCGCACTCCCCGCAGTGGCTCCGCCCAGGACTTCACCTCCCCCCGCCCCGGCGGCCCCAGGTCCCCGAGAGCTTCGCGGGGCCCGGGACCCATGGCGGGAGGGGGAGGCGGACGGTGCCATCTGCCCGGCTCCTGCCTCTGGGGGCTCCTGCCTCTCCTCTGTCTCTCCATTCGCGTCTCTGCGCATCTCTTTGTCTCCTGTCTCTCCCTGCCCCCGGGGGTGGGTCAGTCTTTGTGCCTCTCCGCGTCTCGCTTTGTGCCTCTCTTTCCCTACGAGGCTCCCTCTTTCTTCCTCTTTTTGTCTCTTTCTGCGTCTCCCCGAGTCTTCCTCCGCGTCCCTGGCGCCCAGCCCTGGCGCTTCTCTCCCCTTCTCTTCCGGTGAGTCGCTCCTCGCCTGTGAGAACACGCTCCCCGCCGACGCGCTCAGACCTGCCTCCGCCCCCGGAGCCCGGGCCCGCCCCGACCTGCGCCTTTAAGGGCCGGCGGCGGGGGCGGGGCCTCGGCGGCCACGCCCCGCCCCCTCCCCCTGACGTCCCTTCCTCCCGGCCCCTCCGCCGCCTCCCTCCGCCGCCGCCGCCCGGCCCGGCTCCGCGCCCCCTCCCCGGCCCCCGCCCGCCCGCCGCCCGCCCGCCGCCCCGATGGCGCCCGGGGCCCCCTCCGCGCGGGGCCTCTAGGACCCTCGGCGTCCGCCGCCCCCCGCCCGGCCCCCTCTCCGCGGCGTGCACCCCGGTGTTCGCGGCGCCCAGCTTCTGAGCTCGCGCCCTCCGGCCGGCGGGGGGGGAGGGGAAGAGGGGACCCCGGCGCCCCTGCCCCCCCCAACCCGGCCGCCCGGTCCCCCGGGACCCGGAGGAAACATGTCTTCGCGGACGGCGCTGGCCCCGGGCAGCGATCGGAACTCGGACACGGTGAGTAGGGCCGGCCCCGGGGGGCGCCCGGCGGGTCTGGCCGCCGGCCCCGCGCCCGCTGCGCCCCGAGCCCCAGAGCCCCCCACCCCCCTCCTTCCGAGCCCGGCGCGCCCGCCGCACTTGCGGGACTTTGGACCCTCCCCCGCTCCCCGGCCCTGCCGACCCCCGGGGCGCCCCGCTCCCGGGACCCCGTCCCTCTGCGGACCGGACCGCTTCCGCCGGGTCTCCCCCCTCCGGGCGCCCCCTCCCCTGCGGCGGGAGCCCCTCCCTTCCCGGCGCGTCCGGAGCCCCTTCCCCTCCGGGCCGCCCTCCTCCGACCCCCGACGCCCCTCCCGGATCTGCAGGCTCCTGACCCCGGGCCCAGCCCTGCCCGGTCCTGTCGCAGGAAGGCCGGCCCGGTCCTGCCTCTGGCTCCGGCCTTTCCGGCCGGATCTGCGTCCCGGGCTCCCCAGGAGCCCCCCTCCTCTCCGTCCCTGCCCTCCGCCTTTCCTGCTCCTGTGGGCACCCCTCGCAGGAAGCCGGTTCCCACCTTTCCTGGGCCCAGGGCCCTTCCCCGCTCGTTCAAGGTCTCCCCACGCCCAGGCCGGGGCCCATCTTCCAGGCAGCCCTGCCCTGGGTTCCCAGCACCCCGGGCCCCCGAGCTCCGGACCCTCTGGCCTCTTCCTCTCGCTGGAAGCCTTGGCCTCCAACTTCCAGGCCCCCAGCCCAGCCCGGGGTTTCCAGGCCTCACCCTCCCTATGCCAACTGCTCCCAGCCCCTGGGTCCCCCAACCCCTGGGTCCCCCCTTCTTCCAGGCCCTTCCTGCAGGGCACCATCTCTTCCCCAGATCTCCAGGCCTCCAACCCTCTCCTGCCTCAGGGCCTCTTCCTGGCAGGAAAACCCTCTCCCCAGCTTTGGC